TGATCGAGGACATGCGGGCGAAAGTCACACTTACCAGCCTCAGAAATTGCCACAAAATCCAAAGCATGTTCCCGTACACAATCACCAATGTGTTTATGTTTAGCCAAGTCTGAGAGACCTCTGCTATTCCAAAACATGCCTCTCATATGGAAACTCGGATTGGTGTGGAACTCTTCGCCTTCTTGGGCGGTTTTTGTTTCTTTTTAGAGGCGTGTGATTTAGATTTCCGAGAAGACGCTGTGAAGTCACATAACTTGGACCCAAGTCTTGCGTCATCCAATACAACCACAGTAACCTCACTAACCAAGTGGGAGATTAGCGGACCATCATATTTGGCATCCGCTTCATCATCGTCCTCGGTTTCTGGGTCAGGAATGGTAGTATTACACTTTGGAGAAACCTTTAAATAGTCAATCTCCATATGTTTAAGTACCCCCACTAACAGATTAATATCATTATCATTCTTTCCCATAGAGACCCCCACGTTATTTAAGCTGTTATAAATGCGAGTATCCGGAAAAGAAAGAAATGATTTAATGGAAGAGGTACCTGGTGTGGAGTCCAAATTCCTTGAGGCCTGGCGGCGCATTGCCTTGGCCAGTGCATGCTCATCTGTCGGAGAAGAACCATCCGCCGAGACTGGGTGGCGGTTACTACATCGAAGGGGCGAAGCCAATCCTCCAGACATAGTACCCACCGGTGTCGCTGGGTGGGCCATCGATGAAGGCTGCGGAATCACCCTTGTCCCAGAGGTCGGTGATGAAGAACGTGTTGTCGGTCCCACCGGAACAGTCACAACAGGTGTCGTGGCAGAAGGACCCGAACGAGCCGCCGCTGGACTGAGAGGAACTATGGCGACCGGAGCGCGAGCTGAGCAAGCCGCCGCAGACACTGCCACCGTGTGTTGCACTTGTACCGGAGCAGAAGCGGGAGCATGCAAAACATGCGCTGCGCCCACGTCCGTGCCTGACTGCCTGAGCGTCACCTGCTCAAGGTCTGCCGGCTGATGCACCTGAGATGGGACACCTGCTTGTGGGTTTATGGGTGTGCATGCATCCACGGACGGCCCTGTAGCAGCGGCCACGGCTGGCTGCATGCGAGCAGCCACATCATGCACGTCTTGTGGCTCCATGATCGCTGCCTGCACATGCATGTGCTTAGCTCCCTGGCCTGAAGGAGCGTTGGATGATGCCAATGATTGAGCAGACACGGTTGGCACAAGAAATGTAGCTGCAACGTCTTGCACAGGATTATGCAGAAGGTTGACTTGTGGTGGCACTGTAGCATGTTCAAAGCCCAAATGAGTAGTCTGCATGGGACAACAGTGGAGACAGATTAAGCTCCACGCGTCGTATTACCACCATTAGTTTGGACTTTTTTTGCTCGCTTGCTAGCATCCCTATCTGGCATATCCTCATCCCGGTTAGCACCATCATCATGCCCATCATCATGGTTTTCCCAAATCCGAGGAATAAAGTCATCATCCGGAACAAAATCATCCTCCTCCAGCACAAACCGAAACGCATATCCATTAAGCTTGACATAGACATCAGAGGAGACCGAGCTTTCATCAGACCCATCATGTTTGACAAAAATATCCATGTTATGAACAACCACCTGGATCCGCACAATACCGTGACGGCGCAAGCAAACCAAGTCAACATCCTGAGTGGCGCCAATAACTGATCCCACCGCCCACAGACCAAGGAAATGGCGAAGAGCTGGCGGGACTCCGGTGACGTGCACCCAAACAGGCTGCAAGGGAAGTAGCGACGGAACCTCCTCGATTTTCCATTCACTAAAAGTGATCTTCATGTCATGTGATTTAACATTATACTCAAACGCTGCCACGCGCTCCAAAATCTCCACTGAAGGGAAAGAAACGAAGAAAGCATTTGCTCCATGAGGCACAGCTTCCCACTTCCACGAAGTTTGGACCGCAGCGATCTTTGCAACCTCGGCCTCCACCAGAGAAGAAAACAAGGAACCACCTGAAATAGTAACCAAAGCAGTCGGCAAAGTAGATGGGGCGAGATTCTCCTTGAAGAGTGAGTTCGGAAGCTGTACAAACATTGCATTAACTAAACCGCAACCACTGAGGGAGGCGGTTGGCCTTGGTTGCTTGAGAACAGAGCAGCGGTGCAGAGGATGCTTGTAATTGTTACAAATGTGACAGTAATGAACCACCGTGCAATCCTTAGACATATGATCATCTGACCTGCATTTAAAACACCAAAGATCAGTCTTTTTACCCTTCGGTAGATGTCCAGTAGTGTCAATAGTGGTCGACGTCGCCGCATTAGCGTGTATGGCTGATTGAGTTTGAGCATTGGGGGCGGCCGTCACTGACGCCGGCGGGAACGCTGGTGTAGAACGCGCAGCCCCGGGGGCCGCGCCGGCAGTAGCATCACGACGTCCCCCCTTGCGCTTGCTCTTGGGACGCCGGGCGGGAGGTGCATCCGGCGCTTGCTGGTTGTTAACACCAAAGATGACCGGTGCCGGCGCCGGAGCCGAGGCCCGCTGGACGGACGGAGCAGCGTGATGTCGATGCCGGCAACGCTCCGAAGCGAATAGGTCCAGCAGCCACACCAAAGCCGGCGGAGAGTCCGGGGTTTGATGCAAAAGTTGGACCTGTTTGTCCCACCGGTGGAGCCCCCTTGGACGGGTTGCCACCCCGGCCGGTCATCGGCGGCGCAGAAGCCTGGTGCAGTACGTCGGCGTACGATGGTGGCGGCGGAACACGTGAAGTCGATCCGAGCAGATGCGAAACCGTGGTGCTAGATCGCCTCGACGTAGCGTACGGCCCAGCCGCGAGGCCTGCATGGCACTTACTACTGCAAGTAAATAGATTCCTAAAATGTAGTCTATTTTCCAAATGGAGTGGTTGCAAAGTAAAATATATTTTTCTTACTTATCTTAATTTAAATATTACGTGATTTTCCTTTATATGGCTGGAGTACAGTGATGTCATCGCCACACTCAAAGGACCGTATATGCACAAGTCTCATTGACTGATGAACGTAACTTTTGGTTAATAGAACACAAGTTTTGTTCTACATTCAGAGGAAAGAAAGGCAGCCTTGGACAAAGACGATTAATAAACAACCAAATTAACTGATGGTGCATGTAATATATGAGTAATTTCCACATGTTTTGTAACTTAGCACGAAGGTGCAATACCGTAGTTACGTACTCAATTCCCATACCCAACAATTTAACTAGTGAAGTCCGAGTCTCATCCTAAGCAGATGGTGTGCCACCGTCCGTTGTGCAGTGGCATATTGCCGCACGACACCAACCGGCACACAGCTAGCACATGTATCCAAGTGCAGCAACAAGAGCATATTTTGCGTGTACACCTGTGGTTGATCTTCAATTTGAATTCCCCGTGCATCATATTCCTATCGCTGATAAATCGCCCTTATGGTCCGGTGCCACTTTAAGTTGTATCACCGTTGATCTCGCAGCCAACCATCGAGTTCTCCATACATATTCTTACATTAACACTCTACGATTCCATGTTGTCTTGATTTACATGGAGAAAAGCTAGCTAGTAATTTGTAGATGAACCATCGGCCCTCGACCACACAAGCATATATATAGAGATATTGACCACACAAGCATATATATAGAGAGATATATGGCTCAACTACTCAAGACTTTGGACTTTAATCAATCAGCTATTGCGTTATTTATTGTCTGGAAATTATTATTTCATATGACGCACTCAAAATCTTTTGCCGTCGCCCCTCCTTCCATAGAATTCTCCCGTACCCGCACTTGCTAGGTGGCGACATGGGCCAGTGTCCAAGTGTTTCACCATTGGTTTGATCCTCATAGCTGCGCTGAGGTGGCAGTAGGCCCCACTGCCAAAGTGTCGCAGGTGTTTTCTTGGGGAGCAAGAGTGTGATTGTCTTCTAGGGCAATGGTGGCACTCCAGTTGTGTGAACAGTGGATGTTGGTGGGTCATAGGTGATGCTTCCGTCATGTCACTCGGGCACTTTGCGGTGGCCATGTGGTGGCGTTATGTCCCCTCCTCTACTCGTCAAAGAGGTTTGAACAGGTGGAGGACTACCAACATGGTCAAGTTCGACAACTGACGTGCAGTGCACCCTTTGTTGTCGCCAGAGGCGGCGGAATAGGGCTTTTCTCCAGCACAGGTGGTCGTAGCGGTGGCTCCCTTTATCGTGTGATGCTCCATGTGGCGATGCAACAATGAGGCTTTACATCGATACCACGGGCATGCAACGATGTGCCCACAAGTAAATCCAGATAAGTGGATCTTGGTGTTTCTCATGGCATCGACCTCTCCCCTTCATCGACGAGTGAAGGTTTGAGGATTACAGTCAATGCATGATCGAGAGGAGTTCTGCCGGTAGCCCGTGGTGACTATCTCTGAGGACGATGTTGTGGTTTCAAGCGAAATACTGGGTAGCTCAGCTCTTGGTAGGTACCCTCAAAATTGTGGCCCAAACACATGTGGAGAGATGCCGCAACACAAGCCTCAAGATTCGTATTTGTTTCGCTTCTTCTTGAGGCCCTCGACAATCATCTTGATTGACGGTTTTGAGTTTTTGCCATTGTTGGCAAATTGTTCTTGATTTGGTCCCTGTGTTGCTTCGGAGACTATTCCTCATCCACACTCTTGCCTGGGTATATTTTGCACTTTAGTTATTTTGAGAGCACAAACAAGACTTTCTTCCCACCGAGAGGTTTAAGTTAATGGACAGTCCCACAAATCAAACATCTTACACACAAAAAATGCATGACTTCCAAGAAAGGCTTGTATTCAACATTTTCTAACTTTGACTACAGATATGTGCACAATTAATTTGTCGTATTTTTTCCACAATATAAAATTTCAAGATTAAAGATAGAAGTTAAAAGATACATATGGGAGACTCTGTCAATATCTAAATTCTATTCAATTATGAACTGGGGGAGTACTAGAGATTCCAACTCTACACAAAACCTGTAAAAGTCATTCTAATCAAAAGGCCTTACAAAGCCACTGCTGGACGCTTCCTCCCAGACAGGGGAATACTCTGTTTCGCCAAACCTGGAGCACCATTTCCATTTGGAACGAAATGAACAAATGAGGTGTAAGGAGGCAACCTTGATTCCCAGGAAACCACATTGAAATCCCCTTGCGGTCGGACTCCAGGATCCATCATAAGATCTCCAAGCCTCACCCTCGGCAGAGATGCCCTCTCCGCTGTAACCTCAGTGCGGCTGCTGCAACTGGTGCAGGAAGGCACGATGCGGAGCGGAGAAGCAGCAGGATGCAAGACGAAGTCCGTAACGTCTATCTGATGGCGTCTCTCGACGAGCAACCTCGGGTGTTCCCCAAACATGGAGACGTTCCTCTCAGCAAATCTTCTCAGCCTGCTCAGCATGCCGAACCAGAAATGGACGTTCAGATTCCTCCTCATCACATCCGCGAATATGTTTGTGCCGACGAGCGAACATTCCATCCGGAACTCCTCGGCCAATTCGTCTGCAATCCGTGCCAGCTGCGGGTGATGCGCCGGGTTTGCGCTCCCGAATGCGAGTGTCTTGAAGAGGTAGCTGAACTCCTCGTATGACAGGGTGTTAAGGAAGATCGGCCGCACTGTCCCGAATCGCTCTGTACTTCTAAGCCGGCTGATAATGATCACCTTGCTTCCACTATCCATGCTTGCCAAGGTTGAGCAGAACTCGGCCCAATCCTTCTCGTCGACGTCTGCAACAAGCTCAATAACCACCAGTATCTTCCCTGGCAAGAAGCTCCGATCATGGTCTGCGATTCTGCGGAAGGAGTCTCCATTCAGGTGCAGAATCGAAGAGAAGTGTGAGCTGACCCTCTCGTCCTTGCATACATGGGCCACCAGAGTCCTCTTCCCGACCGCAGGAGCACCAATGATCGGGAGAATAGCAGGCGTACCACCAGGCGAGCTTGAACTGTGCTGCAGCATGAAGTTCAGGAGCTTTTGCTTCTCGGTGTGGCGTCCGAACATGATGGTGTCATTGTAAAGATACGCATCGTATGGTCGACGCAGCATACGGTCGCATCCACCCAAAAGAACAACAAACTCCGTCAAGCCAGCGACAACGTCCTCCAAGCTCTCCACCACACTTTGCAGGTCGGCAAGGTAGATGGCCTTGTTCTTCCTAGCACTGCCATGAACCGTGCGAAGACGTTTGCGGGGAGATGAGCTGCTAACCTCCCCCTCCTCCTCCTTCGGGGACTAGTCTCTGTCTCTTCAAGTGACATGTACCCGAAGGCCCCTAGCGCCCAGTAGCCTCGGTACATGGCGTCCGCGAGCATGGTGAGCTGCGCCAGCATCCCGGAGTTGGTGATGTACCGCCCGTCCGCCTCCTCGACAACCGTGCGGGCTCTCAGGAGGAGCTGCTGCAGCCTCCTCAGCTGCTTCTCTCCCGACTGTGGACGGCGGCTCGAGCGGTACCTGTCGGCGAGGTAGGAGACGAATCGGCTCACGAGTTCACCTGTAACTGCTGATATTGCAAGCTCCATCTTGAGTTCCTGCAAGCGAAAAAGAGTGCTAGCTAACCAGGAATCCAACAGAGCAGAGGGCAGGAGGCTGGTGGAAATTGTAGACTGCTGGTGTGTCAATATCCAGACGTTGCAAAAACTGACTTTGTATTGCCAACAGGAAAGGGAAAATGCTGAAAATTATCTATCACCGGTGGCGTTGTGAACCACTCCACCTCCAGGCTCCAGCTTGTGAAAGAATGTCCTGGAAGGGCAGCTCAGCTGTTCTTTTCATGCGCTACGGAAAGTTGATGCCGACTTTGGGAGCCTTGGCTTTGCTCAGCAACTTTTCTTGACCATGCTCTTCTCTTTTCAGGAGGCTTGTTGTGGCAAAATGGCCTGCATAAAATGGGCACTAGTATAAGAAATGAAAATACCATGGCATACGAAACGCCCTTAATTGCCAGCTGACCAGCATACGTGCCAACCAAATCAGGCAGCAACTACCAGCTTCTAGGCGTACAATGTACTAACAACAAGAGAGAACAAACGTGAGCATTCAAAATTAGTGGCAGCAGCCTTAGGAGACCAGGGACAGCACGCTTACGCCCGAGGACCCTAACAGCCATTTCGTCGAACACCATCCGGGCGCCGCGTACTCGCCGTCGTGCCGCCTTCGCGGAGACGGAGTAAGTGACGCACAATCGTCAGGGAACAGGAGGGAGTTGCCATGACGAAGCTCTGGGTGAGGGCTCGATCTGCGGCGCGCTGCATAATGAGATCCGCGGTGAGGCGATGTTCTTCATGGACAGAGAGGTGCGGTGCGAGGAGAGTCCCTTGGTAGTAATGACGGTATAACCGTGTGAAAATTAGTTGCAGCTGCCAAAATTGAGGGCGAATATATTTCGGTCACACGACTGAAATATTTAGCCGGTTCAGTCACTTTCTTTCCTATTCGATCGGATTAGCATCCAACCGTGGGAACAAGCTCGACCTAAGTTTAGTAAACTATAAACCATAAACAAAACAAGAACCTACATACACACAAAAGCATAAAACTTCTGCAAAAGTTCATATTTCAACCTTAAACTATCCGGTCGGTTTAATTTACAACCCTGGACTTTGAAACCTCGTCTTGATTTTCCCTCGGTCAAACTGGTCCTGATCATAGTCAATGTCGACTGGGCATGCCACCTCAGCAACCAAATCCACACAGCATAGGGCTTGGAGGGCTAAAACAAGGGGGGCGTTGTTTCTTCAGTGGAAAGATAACCTTCCGTCGACTATGAAGACGCCTGTGACGACTTCATCAATCTGTTTAGTATTTCGAAGGTGCCCACAGGGTAGAATGTGCGTGTATACCTTCGTAAGGATGAGCATACGTGCGTGTGCATGGGCATGACCCTCAATAGATATGTTTATTTCAGCGATTATTAGTGTGAGACGAAGGAAGTAGAATGTAAAATGTGACAATAGTTTTGTTTAAATGAGAAAAGAAAAGAGACAACAACTGTCACAAGGTGACCACAAGGGGTAATAGCATCTATAGCCGGGCATCTCAAACCGTCCTCAAACATCTGGATGGACGGTCTGGTCATTGATTTGTCATGAAAAACCAACGCATCCGGGTGTCTTAAACCGTCCTCAAATGCTCGGTTGTTCAGCGCCCCTCATATCCAGCCTAAATATTCTTCGGTCCGGGTGTGTTCGCCACGTCGGCTTGGACCAGCCTGGCCCACGCGTTCCCCATAAATATCCCCATCCGGAAAACCCTACACCGCAGTCAATCCAAACTCCACTTATGTCCCCTCTTCGTCCTCTTCACTTTCGGTCCCCTGAGAATCAATTCGATGGCCGGCGACCGAAGCACAGCTGCCTCCAGTGGTCAATCCGGCTCCGACGACGACTAGGCAAGCCTACTGCGCAAAGCGGAGCCCGGCAATGTGGAGTCACCCTCCGCATCACGTTGAGGCGCTCGCAACTCGACCAAGGCGAGTCCGGCAATGGCGGATCTACTTCGTCACCACCCGGCGCCCGATGACGCGGAGCCGATGACGTCGCCGGCCCATCCCGCCCGGCGTGCAGTTGCGGCCGCTCCGCTCCTTCAAGTACATCGTCCACCACCACCCTCTGCTCCGAAAGTGGTACCCGGCCACCGCTGGGTCCTCGTGCCCGCGCCGAGCCCGGCGCGCACGAGGACGCCTGAGTCCGAGGCACGAGCAGCCCCGCGCAAGCGACGACGGGCAAGGGAGATCCTGTTGGAAATATGCCCTAGAGGCAATAATAAAATGATTATTATTATATTTCCTTGTTCATGATAATTGTCTGTTATTCATGCTATAATTATGTTATCCGGAAATTGTAATACATGTGTGAATACATAGACCACAACATGTCCCTAGTGAGCCTCTAGTTGACTAGCTCGTTGATCAACTGATAGGCATGGTTTCCTGACTATGGACATTGGATGTCGTTGATAACGGGATCACATCATTAGGAGAATGATGTGATGGACAAGACCCAATCCTAAGCATAGCACAAGATCGTGTAGTTTGTTTGCTAGAGCTTTTCCAATGTCAAGTATCTTTTCCTTAGACCATAAGGTCATGTAACTCCCGGATACCGTAGGAGTGCTTTGGGTGTACCAAACGTCACAACGTAACTGGGTGACTATAAAGGTATACTACAGGTATCCCCAAAAGTATCCGTTGGGTTGACACGGATCGAGACTGGGATTTGTCACTCCGTATGACGGAGAGGTATCTCTGGGCCCACTCGGTAATGCATCATCATAATGAGCTCAATGTGACCAAGTGTTTGGTTACGGGATCATGCATTACGGTACGAGTAAAGTGACTTGCCGGTAACGAGATTGAACGAGGTATTGGGATACCACGATCGAATCTCGGGCAAGTAACGTACCGATTGACAAAGGGAATTGTATACGGGGTTACTTGAATCCTCGACATCGTGGTTCATTCGATGAGATCATCGTGGAACATGTAGGAGCCAACATGGGTATCCAGATCCCGCTGTTGGTTATTGGCCGGAGAGTTGTCTCGGTCATGTCTGCGTGATTCCCGAACCCGTAGAGTCTACACACTTAAGGTTCGGTGACGCTAGGGTTGTCGAGATATTAGTATGCGGAAACCCGAAAGTTGTTCGGAGTCCCGGATGAGATCCCGGACGTCACGAGGAGTTCCGGAATGGTCCGAAGGTAAAGAATTATATATAGGAAGTCCAGTTTCGGCCATCGGGAAAGTTTCGGGGGTCACCGATATTGTACCAGGACCACCGGAAGGGTCCTGAGGGCCATCGGGTGGGGCCACCTATCCCGGAGGGTCACGTGGGCTGAAAGGGGAAGGGAACCAGTCCCTGGTGGGCTGGTGCACCCCCCCTTGGGCCTCCCTTGCGCCTAGGGTTGGAAACCCTAGGGGTGGGGGGGGCGCCCCACTTGACTTGGGGGGCAAGTCCCCCCTAGGCCCCCCCTTGAGATGGGATCTCTAGGGGACTAGCGCGCCCCCTAGGCCCCTATATAAAGAGGGAGGATGGAGGGCAGCCGCACCCTAGTCCCTGGCGCCTCCCTCTCCCCCCGTACCACCTCTCCCTCTCGCTGAGCTTTGCGAAGCCCTGCCGAGATCGCCGCTGCTTCCACCACCACACCGTCATGCTGTTGGATCTCCATCAACCTCTCCTTCCCCCTTGCTGGATCAAGGAGGAGACGTCTTCCCCAACGGTACGTGTGTTGAACGCGGAGGTGCTGTCCGTTCAGCACTAGGATCTTCGGTGATTTGGATCATGACAAGTACGACTCCCTCAACCCCATTCTCTTGAACGCTTCCGCTCGCGATCTACAAGGGTATGTAGATGCACTCTCTCTCTCGTTGCTAGATGACTCCATAGATTGATCTTGGTGAAGCGTAGAATTTTTTTTATTTTCTGCAACGTTCCCCAACAGTGGCATCATGAGCTAGGTCTATGCGTAGTTTCTATGCACGAGTAGAACACAAATTTGTTGTGGGCGTAGATGTTATCAATTTTCTTGCCACTACTAGTCTTATCTTGTTTCGGCGGCATCGTGGGATGAAGCGGCCCGGACCGACCTTACACGTACGCTTATGTGAGACAGGTTCCACCGACTGACATGCACTAGTTGCATAAGGTGGCTAGCGGGTGTTTGTCTCTCCCACTTTAGTCGAATCAGATTCGATGAAAAGGGTCCTTATGAAGGGTAAATAGAAATTGGCATATCACGTTGTGGCTTTCACGTAGGTAAGAAACGTTCTTGCTAGAATCCTATTGCAGCCACGTAAAAACATGCAACAACAATTAGAGGACGTCTAACTTGTTTTTGCAGCATATGCTATGTGATGTGATATGGCCAAAAGTTGTGATGAATGATATATATGTGATATATGAGATCATGTTCTTGTAATAGGAATCACGACTTGCATGTCGATGAGTATGACAACCGGCAGGAGCCATAGGAGTTGTCTTAATTATTGTATGACCTGCGTGTCAATGATTAAACGCCATGTAATTACTTTACTTTGTTGCTAAACCGTTAGC